GCAGGTGGCTGGGAGGCACCTCCCTTTACTTCTCCTGCATCTTCTCCAGGATAGGCACGATCATGTCAAACTTGGGGCGCTTGGCTGGGTCCTCATTCATGCAGATCTTCATCAGCTTGCAGATGTGTGGGGAGATGCCAGGCGGGATGGTTGGACGCAGCCCCTCCAATGCCACCTGAGAGCAAAGGGGAAGCCAAGCGCTATCATTGCTCCGGGCTCCGCTGTGGAGCTGAAAGGCCCAGCAGGCGCCTTGGGACGTGTGCAGGTGGGGTATCCTCCGCCAGGCCCTGCTGCCCCCTCCCCACGGGCTCCTGCAAACCCAGACAGGTTCTGAGCTGGTTTCCATGGTGCCATTTTCCCTGCCCACCCCTCACCTTCATGCCTATCTCCATGTTGGACAAGTCTGCGAACGGCACCTCGCGGGTCACCAGCTCCCACAGCAGCACAGCGAAGCTCCACATGTCTGCTGAGCGCCTGTTAATTTCCTCGGGCTTCTTCTGCAAGGCTGTAGGGAATACAACATGGCAAACCGAGCAGGGCTTAGGGCAAGGAAGAGACAAGGAGCAGGAGGGATGTGGCCACTCGCAGCTCACCTTCTGGTGCCACCCAGGCTGGCGCGTACATCCTCCCCGGGCACTGGAAGGAGAACTTGACGTCGGCCATGCTGATCCGCGCCGTCATGTCCTCGTCGATCTGGGGGGAGAGGGGCGGTGGGGGGGGGAGCCTGTCCTGCCCCAGGGGGAAGGGCTGAGCCCGGCAGCACTGACGCTCACCATGATGCTGCGGCTGTTGAGGTGGTGGCGGGGAATGAGGGGCTCCAGCGTGTGCAGGAAGGCCATGCCGCGCGCAATGTCCAAGGCAAACTTCACTGCCTGCATCTGGTCCACCACGAAGTCTGCAGGGAGACGGCAAGAGGACAGTGAGAGGAAGTGATGCCAGGTCCACTTGTGGGAAAGGCATGTGAAGAAGGGACTGGAAACGAGGAAACGGGGACTGCAGCCTAAGCTTAAACCAGGGCCAGGCTGGTTCTTGCAGCCAGAGCTCCCCCACATCACAGAGAAGTCCTGTCTGTTTTGGCAGACACCAAACCTGCCCCTAGCTTGCTATCTCCACCAGCACTCACTTGTTCCCTCGTGTAGCACGTTGTAAAGGGAGCCGTAGGGCATCCAGTGGCTGATGATGATGGGGTGGGGTGCAGGGGGGGCCTGGCAGGCACCCAGCACTGGCAGCACGTTGGGATGTGAGAAGATCCTGCAAGAGATGCGACAGTCCTGAGAACAGCGAGTGCTGCCCACACCCCCGCACCAGCCCGGCACAGCGCACAGCCCAGGGCATCCTCCTGTGCCCCCAGGCACCGTTCTCTGGGGCACCAACCCTGTCCATCTCACCACCAGCAGGATGCCAGTGCTCACCGGAGCTTTGGATATTCCTCATTGAAGTCTCGGCTCTTCCGCGTGGTCCAGTCACCCTTATTTTCAGCATTTTGATAATGATGTCATTGCCTTGCCAGCGCCCTTTCCACAACTGCAGGGGGATGAGTGGAGTTAGTCCCCGTGGAAGGGCGATTCCATCTCCAAGTATCCCACAGCCCTGCGCGCAGGGCAGTGGGGCACATGGGGGTCTGACCACAGCTCTGTGCAACAGCTGTGACCGAGTATAGGAGCAACCCATGGCATTTAGTCCAGGGCAGGTGCCTGCTCTGTGAGGGCTGGCCCCACGCTTGGCTATGGAAATGGAGCAGTAATGCTGGGCAGCGAGCAGGGATCTGCAGGAAAGCAGCTATCTTATCTCACAGAGATGAGCAGGCCCACGCACCTCTCCTGACTGGTTCTCGTTGAGTTTTTGGCCCAAGCTCAGCTGTTTGAAGTCTATTCCAGCAAGTTTGTTGAGTGTCCCATTTCCTGTAACAAGAAGGAGAGATGGAAAGAGCCTGTGGGAGCTGCTTGGTTTCATGGGACCTTTCTCTGGACATCCCCTGAGAGCACAGGGACAGGGAGTACCAAAGGGACACCCCACTCCTGCCAGGAGCCACCCGAGGTGCTGCCCATCTCCAAAAGGAGCTGTTTGCAGTGCAAACTGCTGCTGCCTCGTGGGTGCCAGCCCAGCCACGGAGGGGAGCTGTAATCTGCCCCTCCAGACAATGTGTCCCTCAGCAAAGGCTCTGTCCTTACGGGGACGTGTGCGGGTTGTGCCCTTCCAGAAGGTGTCCTTGTAGGGAATCTTGGTCAGGCTCTGGCCCAGCTTCTCAGCACGCTCTGCAGAGGGACCAAGAGTTGGACAGTGCAGGCACGGTGAGCTCATGTGCTCACCAATGCTGCACGTGGGACTGCGGCAGCAGATGGGGGCAGCCCTGGGGCCAGAGGAAGAACATCCTACCCTTCAAGACTTCCCGCAGTGGCGTCTTGGCTTTGTCGATGGGTGTCTCACCGTATTTGTTAGCAACGCTGACCAAAGCCCCGTTGCTCACGAGGTCCTGAAAGAGAAAGTGAGCGTCTTTCCGCTTCACACCACATCCAGCCCCTTGCCTTGCCCTCTTTCCATCCCACCTTCCCCCACCCCATAGTACCCTCGGCCAGTTCCCTCTCCCAGCCCTGACCAAGGGCTTCTGCTCACCTCGGCCACCTGGTCGTGTCCCCAGAAGCAGGCATAGTGCAGAGGGGTATTGCCGTGTTCGTTCACTGCGTTGATGTCTGCCTTGAACTGGATCAGCTGGAGGCAGGACGATCCCCGTAAGTCTAGAGCATAAACCCCCATCCCTCCAGCAGCGCGCCCGCGGGGAGGACAGGAGCTCCAGCGCCAGCCCTGCGCTCTGACGGACGCCGGGCTTTGTGGGGTGCGGGTGGACGTGGGGGGAGCTCAAAGGCCTCCAGACAGGACGCACAAGCTCCCGATACGGGAGCTGGGGAGCGCGTGAGTCCTGGGAGGCGCAGGGCAGAGCGCTGAGCAGCCTGCGTGGGGCATGGGAGGACGGTCAACGGGGTCGGGGCAGGGCCCTGCCGATA